TCATTCTACATAATATTCTAATTTCAACTACAGCAGTCAAAGATAAACTTTATTTAGTGGTAAATCACTAAATCTATAGCTAGACACTTGTTTTGGGTGTCGACACTATTGGGCAGGGTTAGTCCGCTCTTGTAAGTGCCTCTCAAATATTGTTGTTTTAAGGGTTTGGGGTATCCCTTGTACTCCGGTTATCAATATATATATTTTTGCTGTTCAACAAAAAAACTAAATCTATAGCTAGAGTTCAGCCTTTTTAACTGGAAAATCTTTAAAGAAAAATACTCCAAAAAAGGATACTGTTGCCAAATAAATCTCGGAAAGGATATTGGATTTAAAGAGAAAACTATTTATTTCCAAAATAAAAATGAAAATTTCAATACTCTTTGCAGCTAGCTTTAATCCTTTTTAACTCCTGGTGTAATTCCCCTAATTTATGTGTTCAATAAATTACTAAAACTTAGACTTATCATTCATACTATAGATCCTCCTTACTATTGTTGAAATATCTCCATATATGTTCCTTTTGTAATGCATACTTGAGATTATGGTGGAGTACTAGCTATACTCATTACCATAATAAATCATTTTGATTCATCTAAAAAAAACCCCTTTTTAACTTTGCGTGTGAACTTTGAATTTTATATTATAACAAAAATAATAATTCAAGGGTTAGGTGGAATTTGGAGTTTAACTACATTGTATATGTCCTGCCTATGTGATTCTGCCTTCCTTTCTTCCTTTTAAAGTTTTGGACTTCATGTTTTTGGAATGCTCTCATGTCTTTTGCATGTCAAAACATTATATATATATAAATATATATTGCAGATAAAACATAAATTTTTTTCATGTTGAACAAAATTTTGGAGAGGAAAACGAAATTTTGTGTAAATATAAATCTTCAGATGTACATAAAGAGAGAGAGAAAAAAAAAACCATATAGTTTATTTACAATGTCTTTTTGTAGGGGAAAATGTTGTATTTTTCTAATTTAGAATTGGCATCACACACCAAAAACTTGAATAATTGAATGTCTTTTGCAGAAAAGAGAGAACTGACATTGCATGTGTTATTGCAGAACCTTTTTCTGCATTAGGCTCAGAAACACCACAATAATTTTCCCATTTTGTTCACATTATGTATAGATTTTAGTTTTTAATGTGTATGGTGACACTTTCCCAATAAAAGAATCTGGGAAATGCAGTTGCCCGTTTGCTGTTTGGCTAAGTTTAAATTGTGTTATTAGGTGATTTTTTTTTTTTTTGATAATATTTATTAGGTGATTAGTTGACTAAAAGGTTTAGTCCCAAACTTTTCAACAAACCGTAACTTTGACTGCATTAATTCGAATGCACTAAACTCTTGGTAAATATCAGAATTTTAATCGCTGCACTAACAGCTTCCTTATCTCTCTTTTCTTCAATTGCCCTTGTTCAAAAAAAAAAAAAAAAGTCCCAAACTTTTCTAAACTTGGCCTTCACAACGCAAGAAACAGTGCAAGATTAATCGACTAAAAAGGCAACCAAACAGATCCTTAAGTTTTACTCCAATGTGGTATGAACTGCAAATATATACTGCACATCAAAAGAAATAATTTTATGCCTAGTAAATTACCTTGCATATGTTAGATTAAGTTGAGATTGCTTGAGCAAATTAAAGGCAAAAAATTCATGTCAAAGTTAGAAAATTCTTTGTGATGTAAAAACACCATTTCCTGGTTTTGTTCCTCTAACCTCATCTGAATATAAATAAAATTTCAATGGATCACCTGCCACCCTTTAAGTGATGGTAGAACTTTTCCAAGTAAAAAGGGGCGGTTTGCAAGGACATGTAGTTTTTTTTTTATATAAAAAAAAAAAATTTGGGTGCAATTTTATTTTCTTTGATTGATGCGACACCCTGCTAATAGAAATGGGGTTTCCATATCCTCGACCTAACGGTCCACAATAAATGCTGCCATCATTATCTATACTCTAGATGCTTTTATAACTTATAATTGCAATTCAGTACCCAATGCAGACTAAATGCCAGCAGAGCTCCAGAAATCGCATGCAATTCTCTTGCTTTTGGCTCGTAACACCTCAGTATAATTGTTAGGGTTAAATAAATATAGAGACTAATTATTATTAATGATTTTAATTTATAATTTTTTAGATTCTTCATTTGTTATCAATTAAGTGAAGTTGATATTCATTAACTTTAAAATAATTTATTACCCAATTTATTTAAAGAGTTGAGCATATTATAATACTCTTGTATTCCAAAAATCAGCAAAAACAGCCTAGAGAAAAAGTTCTTGGTCCTAAAATAACACAAATTTCTTGAGCGATAATGTAATCCCTTCTTTGATTTTGTTGAATCGATGACTTGATACATCCTTTTTACAATAAGAAATGCTTTCATCTAATTTTCTCCTCTTTAAAACATCAGAAGGGTTGTTGTAATATAATTGTCACAAATGACAACTGATGAGAAATTTGAAGGGTTCAGCATAATTGAGATGAATCAATGTCACGAGTTAAAACATATGCTATGTAACAAAAGTTGACATGTTAAGAGTAGTTGAGGTGCCAAAATCAAGTGAAATCTCTACCTATTTGATTGCAATATTGCTACTATCTTCTTCTTTCTTTTTCTTTTATTATTTTTTTATTTTTTTATTTTTTTCTTGTCCATGTCTCAATAGGAAAAAAAATCCCAAGTTAAACATCTCCATGTGGGGTGTATAAATGGGAAATTCTCCAAGGACATATATATTGTAATTCGTAAGCAATCCTAGTCCAAGTCACATCCAATCCAATGGTGCAATGAATCGTTAATCATTTGGTCCTCTCGGGGATCAGAACCAAATCTTATCATACCAAAAAAAAAAAAAAAATTTACATGTGCTGGATCTTCGGACAGACCTCATTCCATAGCTTGTTTTCTTTATTGAATTGTTTCTCTAACAGTAATAATTCTTAGAACTAAATTTTAGGATGAAATTTTTTTAATTATTAATTATATAAAATCATATGAAACCTATGACCATGATTAACGGTTATCATAAATTTATTTTAAATTTTAATCTTAAAAATTAATCCTAACTATCATCCTTCTCCTCCATTAAAAAAAGAAAGAAAAAGAAAAAGAAAAAAAACTATCATTATTCTTCCTTAAATTTGTGTTTTAGTCTTTGGTGAACCTGAGGGTGATATATTTCAACTTCAAGGCCTAGAGTTGGTATGGGCTACTAATAGGCCCAATTTCGATATTTTAGTTCTTTATGGGCTTTACAATGGCTACGGTGTGCAACCGGTTCGGTTAAACGAGATTTAGGGTGAACCAAGCCACTGAGCCTGCAATTTTCAACCGGGTGATGCATACAAGTGGGAGTAGGGCTTCCTCAATCATCTTTCATGACTTTCTTCTGGCTTTTCATTTTTTTGGCCATTCTTTCTAGCCTTTTCTTAGCTTGTCTTCAAATGTCTCTCCTTGGCTTCTCATAACCTAATCAAGTTCACAAAATTTCAACTTGAAAAGTGATTATGCCCCTAATTCCCTGCCATTGTAGGGTTTGGTTTGACACCACTTTGCAACGCGCAAAGGCAAGATGTTTGGTTCTGAAATCATATGATTAGCATCGGGTATAGACAATGCTTAATCATGGTCCCATATGTCAATAGTCATTTTACTTCAAAAAAAGTGTAAGGTGCACCTCATATCTAATACTCAAATTAAAGAAAAATTAATGGAGACTTAAATTCATAATCACATGATCAAATATGTTTTGATATCATGTTGAGAACTATTCAACTTAAAAATTTAAACTCTTAACCTATTTACTCAAGTTAATAGTAAGTTAAAAAAAAAATTACTTGAGCTATAAGACTAGCTATTTGTTTGCCTAGAGACAAGCATCTTATAGGCCTTGAACTAACCCACATGCAAATTAGAATAATTTTTTCTTTAATGAAAAGCTGAATGGGAAAATTTTGATTAACTAAGTTCCCTAACCATGAAAAAGTTAATTTTTAAGCTAATTAAGGAGATTGTTGGTATTAGAAAGTCATATCAAACGTCACTAATAGAAGGAAAATGGTCGGCTAATCCTTAATTAGACACTTGAAATGTACTGGTGAGTTTCCATTTGGCCCCCTCTTGGCTCCAATCTTAGGGCTGATATTCATGTTTAATATCAATAATGTAATACAACAAAACCAAGTTGTTTTTGAAGCCGAAAGGGGGTTTTAGAAATGAGATGAAGAAGTGGCTTTGGTTTCCTCTGTATCCCCTTTTGGGGACATTGGATCCGTTTTGGTGAGTGATTTTGGTCCTAGTATACATTTTAAATAAGAACATGTACTATGTAGCCATGTGATGTGCTTCAAATTAAATTGTGGCTTAGGTTATTATTCATCATTGACTAGTCCCTTGTAGTTGTAGCTAGGGTATATTTTAACACTCTTCATTCTTATCTATCTCCCATTCATTAACAATCATTAATCACCATTCAAAATGATTGTATACGCTCAAATTAACAACTCATTCTTAATAAGACTCAAATCAAGATCCCTACTTAATCACAAAGAAAAAGATTTTATTGACGACTATCGATATGATTCTAAATAATCTTAACTGGATGTTGGCATTGATCATAACTAAAACAATTTAAAATTAAAATTAAGAAGGGTATATATAAAATTGGAGCTGGTAACTGAAGAAACGATGCAAGTAATAAAGGTGTAAAAAAGGATAAATATGTTTGGACCACAGTCTTGGGAATCAAGGGTCTAAGTGAAGGACCACAATTTTGGAGCTTGGATTTCTCTTGGCTGTGTCTGTTTAGCATTACTTTTTTCATATTAAAATAAAATAAACGAATGAAATATTTTCTTTTATTGGCTGCCAAGTAATTCCAACCAATATCCATCATCATTTGCTTCATGTTGGTTGCTAACACTGCATTTTGGCCTACATATCTCATGAGGAAACATGAATGATTAGCACACCTTTTAAGCCTTTTTTCTTAAAACAATGTTGAAGTTCTACACAAAAATCTCAAACTCTACTTTAGATTTCTTACCATGCAATTCCATCAACCTTTGCGTCATTGAATCAATTCCTTGGTTTATTAGAAATAGCATTGTTATGCACATGTTGAGCCCAATCTAACATTCATATTTGGTGAAAGATATATAATTTCTCATGAATATCCCAATTTAGAGGTGAATATATAACTTCTTTTTTACTGGATTAAAAATGTGCATATACACAAACTAATCCAAAATACAACATGAGTTTTAAACCAAATTACCAACTGCAGCAAACTTTTGGCTTGGGTCTATAAGAAGCAAATCTATTACAAAAAGGGTGGGAGTTGGAGCATTGGCTAAATTTTGGAAAGAACAAAAGGAGTTGTTTGCAAATTTGTGGAATTACCCATCATCTTCAGGAGCAGTAGAACCCAAAAACTGCTGTCATTTTGGAGGTCCTGTTCTGCCATGATCTTCATTATTCAACCACCATATTGCCTTTAAGCCTTTTGGGTTCTTTTTGAGTAATTATTTTTAACAAAAGCTAATTATGAATGATCATCAAAGTACATAATTAGGTGCCTTTTGACATGTCAAACAAGTTCATGCAATTTGCATGTGTTGTTTTGAATTGGGAAGATTTTCTCCATGTAAAGGTAGTTTTGCACTTGCGTGATACATATATTACATAATGAGCTTATGTCTCTGTACTGAATTGGGTCTTAGCCCAAACTCCAGCCTGTTTTCATATCATATTTCGAACCAAGAGATCGTTTATAATGGCCCTTTTAATTAATAGGTTTTTTTCTTGACAGAAATGTTTTTTTTTTTTTAGTTTGGAAGAGGTGTAAAAATATAGCCGAACCCTCTAGAATCTTATACATTATTTTTTTTTATTGTTAATATTTTAAAAAAAATTTATTTTTGATTAGTATTTTTTATAATTTAAATTTTATAAAAATCTTAAAAATTAATGATTAAATTTCTTACTTGCACCATAATTTTGTTAATAATTTAAGATTTTTTTTTACAAATTTTAAATTATGAATGGTATTAATCAAAAACAAAAATTATGAAAGATATTAATTATAAAAAAAAATGTATAAGCTATAAATAAAGAGTTTTACCTAAAAATATTTAAATGCTCTTATTAAATAAAATTTATTTAAAATATTTTGATATTTTTATTGTAAAGATTGAATTGAAAAAGATCATTATCTTTTCTCAAACTCTAAATTTTACATAATTTCAACAAGTTACTGTATAACTAAACCAAAATCTCGGAAGATTCTAACTATTTCATTGCAAAAATTCATCGAATGTGATACTTTTGGCTTAGTAATTTCAATGCTAGTTATGTAATTGTTGCTATTTTCTAAGCAATTTAATGTTAGAAAAGTTTCAAATACTTTGGCACAAAGACAATGCTTGTGTATGATTGATGTCAGATATGAGAGAAAATGAATTAAATCAAATGTAATCATGTTTAGATGCTTTAAACTGCTAACAATTATTAGGCATGGACGCATGGCCGAAAAGTATGAATGTTACATGCATTATTTTGTTAAAAGTAACTTCTTTCCACTTTCCAACATGTTCCAACCCCTTCATCTTTCTTGCTTCCAAGGACTCAACCCATGTGGAACTAAGTTCCTTCCAAGGACTTAAGCCATGCTCTCCAAACTGTAGCCCCTTCTTTTTGGTTTGCATTTTTGTCTTTCAGACTATTTTTAGTTTTTTTTTTTTTATTGTCAATCAACAAATGTATGAAATCAAATAAATAGATATTACACGAGTTATTTTATTTTGTGATTTGAATTGCAAAATGAGGGACACCTCCTAATATTAAAGAGTTCACCTCTTATTTAATAAAAAATATATATAATCTAATACAATGTAAATTATGAAATACTTCTTTAATATTATATTGTCTTCTTATTAATAAATACTATCAGCGAAAATGGGAGTGCATCTCAAATTGGGCCTCGAACATCACAACCCAGTTTTCACAAATTGGACTTGACATTCGTTCCAATTTTCACAAACAAGTGGATATACAGTATTATACACTGACCTACTTTCCAAATTTCACAAATTGGGCCTCGAGCCCTGGACCATACCCACAAGGCCACAACCCAATTCACTTGGGCGGGCCATCCACGCGGTTCACGGTTCAAATTTCAAAATTCAAAATTCAAAATCGCAACGGACCAACAGTCGTCATCCACGCACACCGAAGGAAAAGCCGTCTCAGACGGCCTGTACTTTTATATTAACCTCTTCACCATTTCTCTTCTTATCTTTTACCCAATTGCTCCCTTTTTTGCCCAGGCGTCTTTGTATACGTCTCCGGCAACTTCTTTCTTTGCACTGTAATCAGTCTTTCCTCTTCTCGAACAACTGTCAAAATGAGAGAGTGCATCTCCATCCACATCGGCCAAGCCGGTATCCAAGTGGGTAACGCATGCTGGGAGCTCTACTGCCTTGAACATGGCATTCAGGTTAGTCCTTCATTGATTCTTTATCAGAATCCTTACACTCCGTTCTCTGTTTCGTTCTGATTTCTGGGTTTTCGTGCGAGTGTAGCCTGATGGACAAATGCCGGGTGATAAAACTGTTGGAGGAGGAGACGACGCCTTCAATACGTTTTTCAGTGAAACTGGAGCCGGAAAGCATGTTCCCCGTGCTGTGTTCTTGGACCTGGAACCAACCGTCATAGACGAGGTCCGGACCGGGACATACCGCCAGCTGTTCCACCCAGAGCAACTCATTAGCGGCAAGGAAGACGCCGCAAATAACTTTGCCAGAGGCCATTACACAAGTAAGAAAAGACAAATTGGAGGCTTTTTTTTTTCCCCTGTATTTTTGTGTGAGAATCTGAGAATCGGATGCTTTATTTATTTATTTTTTTTATGCAGTTGGGAAGGAGATTGTGGATCTGTGCCTTGACAGGATCAGGAAGCTGGCGGACAACTGTACTGGGCTCCAAGGGTTTCTGGTTTTCCACGCCGTTGGCGGTGGTACAGGGTCCGGCCTAGGTTCTCTGCTTCTAGAGAGGCTCTCTGTCGACTATGGAAAGAAATCTAAGCTCGGATTCACTGTTTACCCATCCCCTCAGGTCTCCACCTCTGTTGTGGAGCCTTACAACAGTGTCTTGTCAACCCACTCCCTCTTGGAGCACACTGATGTTGCAGTCCTCCTGGACAATGAAGCTATCTATGATATCTGCCGTCGATCTCTTGACATCGAGAGACCCACTTACACTAATCTCAACCGCCTTGTTTCCCAGGTATGGTAATCAATTTGGTTGAGAGTTTTGTGGTTTTCTCGGATTGCTTTTGGGTTTAGGCTAATGAGAATGTTTAATTGGGTGCAGGTGATATCTTCCTTGACTGCGTCTCTGCGTTTTGACGGAGCTCTGAATGTTGATGTGACTGAGTTCCAGACCAATTTGGTCCCATACCCTCGTATCCATTTCATGCTTTCTTCATATGCTCCTGTGATTTCAGCAGAGAAGGCCTATCACGAGCAGCTCTCAGTGGCAGAAATCACAAACAGTGCCTTTGAGCCGTCGTCCATGATGGCAAAGTGCGATCCTCGCCATGGCAAATACATGGCTTGCTGCTTGATGTACAGAGGAGACGTGGTGCCCAAGGATGTGAATGCAGCAGTGGCAACAATCAAGACCAAGAGGACAATCCAGTTCGTGGATTGGTGCCCAACCGGATTCAAGTGCGGAATCAACTACCAGCCTCCTACTGTGGTTCCAGGCGGAGATTTGGCCAAGGTACAGAGAGCTGTCTGCATGATTTCAAATTCAACCAGTGTTGCTGAGGTGTTCTCTAGAATCGATCATAAGTTTGATCTGATGTATGCCAAGAGGGCATTTGTGCATTGGTATGTTGGCGAAGGTATGGAGGAAGGAGAGTTCTCGGAGGCCAGGGAGGACTTGGCTGCTCTTGAGAAGGACTATGAGGAAGTTGGGGCAGAGTCAGCTGAAGGAGAGGATGATGAAGGTGATGAGTACTGAGCATAATTGCTTCAAAAAGCTTTTATGAATTCTGCCAATGGGCTCATTGGTCTGCATTAGTGAAGGCAGTTAGAACTAAGCTAGTATTTTGCGTTTCCATCTTATAGTGTATTCCGCTTCAAGTTTAATGAATTTGATTATCTCAAATCCAAAATTTTCCAGCTTCTCTTGCTAGTTCTCTTCCAATCTAAGTTGCTAAAATTACAATTGTCATATAAAAACAGAATATCCATCCTCACTGATTCGGGCTGGGGTATCCATGTTCAAACATCCACCAAAGGATTTGGGAAAAGGGTTCTCCCAAACACCTTGCTTCGTGACAATAGTGCCATTCCCAACTGAAAAATCAAAAATGTAAATGGAAGAAAGACTAATATTGTAAAGAGCAGGAATATAAGGGGAAAAGAACACAAAATAAAGTGCGAAGAGAAGCTGTATGCAAAATGCAGATTCTTTGTATTTTGTGTTCTTGTTGGAAGACTATACATGAGCCATCTACAGAGATAAAGGACTCCCCTACAGAAAAAAATTAAAAAAAAAAAAGGAAGAAGAAGCAAAATGCAACTTCCTCTCACTAAACATTAAACTGCAGCTCCTCTCTTTGCTATTTGATCTACTACTTGATCCTGCCAAAATATTTAACCAAAAATATCCATATCAGCAACCTCAGAACATTAAATTTCCATATTTTCAATATCTTAACATGATGTTATAATAATAAGTTTCTGTAATCTTCAAAGAAAATTTCTGTTTTACAATCCAGAACGCAATAGACAACATATTTCAACGAGAACAAGCTAATTGAAAACAAAAGGCAAATCAATCTCCTATCTACCGTTTGGTTGCTAGGAAAAGATTATGGTTTTGGTGTTTCCAGATACTATGGAAAAAGTCTTGACATCGATCAGAATTTCTGAGAGTTCAAAGGAGAACACATAAAACGATCAAATTTTATTCAAGAAATTAACAAGAAGCTTGGAGAAGGAAAAAAGAAAGCAGACCTCGTTCGATCCATTGATAGATAAGATTAATTGTTTCAGTGCAACGCCTTGACTGTGTTCTTGCCGCTGAGAGGCGAGCAAGGCAAGATCGGCCTCGAGAAGACCACCACGTTCACACGATGCCGCTTAGGAGAGCCACCGACGACAGTCTTGCTATCTTTACCGCTCAGTCCCCTAAGATCACTGAGGAAATCCTCTCCAAGATGCGATTCCTCCTCTCTTATCCTCAAGACCTGGCTGTGCACCCACTCTACCTTCTTCTTCACCACCACCGATCTCGGCGACTCCACCTCCACCTCCTCCGTCGACGACTCCCCGCTCTCCACATCCAAACTCCTGTTCATTCGCGCCATTTCCCCCAATTTCTCTCCGCATTCCTCGCCGATCAACAATAAATGATCCGACTCCATCATCTTCGCAATCAAAAGTAGGGGGAGAAGGGGAGAAGTTACTTGATTTGTTTCGCGTTAAGAGTGGTTTCTTTGAATCTTCAGGCGTTGTTTGTTTATGAGCGTGGATTTTGTTTGGGGGTTTGTAATTAAATTTATACGGTCTGATGAGACACGGTGCGTTTGGACGGGGAAAAGGCGATTGCGGTGTTGACACGTGGAATAGAGTTAGAAAATGAAGGCCATCACGTGTTTGCTGATGGGACACGCGCTCCAACCCAAATATTCAAAACCCGTTGCCGTTTTACCAGGAGAGCTGCTGCTACGTCATAAAAAACGCCACGTCAGTTACTGGTGTTAGGAAGAGATTATTATCATTATTAGCATGGTTAGGTCCATTTGTCCAATTTCTTAAAAAAACTGATCTGGGAAACGTCTGTAATGAGATGGAAGAAAATGATTGGTCCACATAGCAGATTGGGTATTTTTGGCTTCGATTATATGACCATTGGAGAGAATGAGAACAAGTGGCAATAGATTTTGAAGTTGAGTGAGATTTTAGCTTTGTTTTTTTTATTATTAACAACTTAAGTTTTTTTATGTTAAAAATCTCACCTTCGTATCTTAAAATCATTTTTTCTCATACATATATATATACATATATTTAATTTAAGAGAGCAACTTAATAGTTAAGGATTTAGAATTTTAAATTAAAAATTTTAAATTTAAATTTAAATTTAACTCGAATGGAAAGAAAAAAAAAATATTATCTATTCTTATCTAATCATTATTATCAAATATAAAAATATATATGTGGTTAGTGCATATTAATTTTTACTAAAAAAATTAAAGTTTAAACTTTCAACTTATATTCAAAATTCAAAAATCTAATTAATTTTTAAATTTTAAATTAACTTTAATTAAATAAAATAAAATAATTTAAAATTATGATTCTAATTCTTATAGAAAATTAAAACTAATATACATTTTCACAATATACTATGTAGATACGTGAAAGAAGAGTTTTATTAAAAAAAAAAATCAGGAATTAACATGATATATGTTGATTCCGCCGTGATACAGACACCAAATCACAACTTCTACATGACTTTTGCATTTTGAATTTAAACATAATCAAGAACAATGTACAACGTGAAGCTTATCATAAACATTGAAGTTAAATACTAGAAAGATAGCAGCTCACGGGACTAGCAATTTAAGGCTGGAAATTCCCCTAGCGTAACCGTGAAGCAACCCTTTCCAGAAGGGGAGAAGCTCTTGTACCGTGATTACAAGAAAAAGGTGTGGTTCAAAGAACCAAAAGCAAGACACGAGATGGGTAAATTTTCAAATCAAACCTACTTGAGTGAAGCCAAATGACAAACAGATGAAAAAAGCATCCATTAATTCTTTAAACATTAGCCAAAATTAAAGTATTTTGAACTTAAACAGCAAAATGAATCCTGCAACAGCCGAATCATAAAAGAAACAAATATACCAAAATCCACTACAATAACATGTCTGGAAACAAAACATTAAAACGAAGACAAGACAAGAAATGGTAGGGATGGTGAGGTCCAGAGGGTTTTAGACTTGGTACTAGACCAAAGATTTATTCCTCGTCCTCTTCATCCCCGGCTCCACCAGAAGCCTTCTTGGCAGCTGCCTTCTCATTCTTTCGCTTCACTCTTCCAGGGCGACCACCTCCGAAGGGACTTGTCAAAGAGAAATCAATGTGCTTCTGGGACTCCACTCTCACCATGAAAGATGGCACATTCACTACTTGTCTCCCCACCCTAACAGATAAGAAGTGTTATTGTCATCAATGAAGTTGCAGTCATATATTTTGTTTGAAAACGAAAAGGCCACCAAAAAGAAATATATAAAACAGGCCATCATAAACATGTAAGAATTTCTAAATATTGGACAGTATTTAAGAAAAACACTAAGTTTAAGGCTATTGATCAAGGTAATTTGCAAAAACAAATGGCAAAAGAAAATACCAATTGTCTTGCCATTTGCCAACCAATGAATGAAAATGGAATAAAAGGATAATCTTAAACCAGGCACATTAAGAGACAGAGTTTGCAAAAAATAGTACCTGATATGCCTCTGCTTAATGAGCACACGAGCATGGTGAATTGACTTTGCCAAACCCAACTTGAAGACAAGTGTTTGCAGACGGCGCTCAAGGAAATTCTCAACAGTCAGGGCCAAGACATAATCGAGCTTGTTTTGACTCTCATCCAAAAGCCCATATTTGTTCATCCTGCGGAGAAGGGCATCACCTTCAAAGATACGGCGGGGGTTCTTCTCATCAAGAGTGAGAAGCTCCCTTGCATTATTACGGATGCGGCTAAGAGCATACTGAACCCTCCACAACTCTCTCTTACATCGGAGCCCATACTCTCCAACAAGCTTCAGCTCAGCATCCAGACGCTCCTTCTCATATGGACGACGTGGCTTCTTAAAGGTCTTCCCATCTATAACCACAAATTATCACATAAATCACAAATATAAAATAATCACCATGTAAAAATTAACACATTTCATAAATCAGAAGAACTTAACAAGTTCTAAAATTTGGGGACATCAGACACAAAAATCTAACCTCATTTTGGATCACAAATAACAAGGCCGAAAGAAATTTTCTATCTTTCTAAGCCAAATCAAAATCCAAGACATACCCATATTCTAATTTCACCTTCATCCTTAAAAAATGATTAGTGCAACAACGTAAGTGCACATGGGTTTCAATATAATGGATCCAGCAAGACGAAGAGCAATAATTGAACAAATTATTCCAGATTATTCGAATAGATTAAGATCCTTTTACTGAAACAAAACAGAAACAGAGAGTAACGATAAAGAACAGATCAATTAAACCGATTACTAAAACAACAGTGAAATCCATACAAATTATCAGCTCAAAACTTCTAAATCACATTGGGCTAACGAAAATCACAGACAATAAGAGATAGAGAGAGTTATGGGTCTTACAGTTTCGATAGTAACTGACGTGAACCATGGCGGCTACGGCTCCTTCGAGCGGTGGGAGGAAAGGGTGTGGGAGAAAGTGCAGAAGCCGATGTAGGGTAGAAAAAATGAAGCAATGCTCGTTATTATATATAGGCGTTTGCCTAAACCCTAATTCGCTGGGCAAGAATGGAATAGGGTTAGTCCGTTAGCTTCAATTTTGAGCCTGCTTTTAGAGGAATTGGGCCAGCCAGTTGCACAAAAATTTTGGGCCCCCAATCTCTTCTAAGTTCTAAATGGACCTTTAAAATTCTAAATTTTCAATTGCTTCTACTTTAGTCCATTAAGGTCCCACCACACTTTCTCTTATAGTAGCTTATAAAAAGTATTAATTTGAAATAATTTAATTAATTTTAATTAATATTTTATATAATTTTATAATTATATATTAATATATAAGACACTTTTAAAAGTATTTATTAAATAATTATATAATTTTTTTATAATAAAACATTAAAATACTAATAACTACTGCAATTCATAATAATTTCAAACATAGCTTAACAATCTTACGTGTGGGCATGTTATGACCACCCAAAAAATTATTAAGGCCACACAAATAATATATGTATTTAATTTCTCTAATTTTATCAATTTATAACTATTAAAATACTTAAAAATATTATTTTATAAATTATTTTTAAATTATTAAACAATAAATATTATAGATATCAATTAATAGTTATAACTATTATCTCTTCTTAATAGTAAAATTCAATGCAATTGCTTTGTTTTTGTTAAAAAAAAAAGTTGGCCCAATCTGTGTAGGGTACTATTCTACAAAAGGCAAAAAGAAGAAGCACAAAATGAGGAAGGCAAAATGTAATCAAAGCAGGAGCCCGAGAAGGGAACGTGGTAGAGAAGTAGCCTTAGTTGAGAAGTCTTGACTACGAATTAGAGAAAAAGGAAGTCAGTAGAAAAGTGTCCCTGTTGTCTTCCTCCCGTCTAACACATCAAACACCAGCAACGAGGGGAGCCCAGTTCTTTTGTTTTCTCTGAGGAAAAGGTTTGTTTATGTTTCTCCAATCGTAGCTGAATCAAGTTTTTGTACATAGCTCTCAGTGATTTTGGTGGGTTTCTGTTGAGGAATTGGTGTTTGTTTTGATAGAAGAAAAATGAGTGCTTCGAAGAATCGAACCTTTCAGAAAGAAGCGTTTAAGAATCGGTTCGTTATGGCAAAATACGCAGAGAAGACGTGGAATATTCTGGAACATGCAAATCATGAAATTTATAACCATAATGCCAGTGGCTTCAGTTTTGAAATTTATACGTAAAGCTTTTGTTGCTCTTACTGATTCATTCTAATTTCTGCCCTGTTACTGTTATTCTTTTAGCTTTATAATGCTTTGATTCAATATATCGTGTGTTTCTTGGTATTAAAATATAAAACAGTTTTGTTGATTAATTGTATCTTATCTGATAAATCATATGCTGTATTAAAACATGCCATTTATTTTTAATTAATTGTTTTAAAAGAATGTTATTTTACATTTGTGCCCAAGTCAATCACGCCAAGAAAGTCGCCGCTTCTTTCAGCGAGTTGTTACAATCATCAGGCAAAAGCGAAAGTGGAGAAAGAGAAGAAATGATTTCAAAAGCAGTGCGGTTCTATTTGGAGATTTTGTTCTTGGAGAATTCCTTGCCTCTGCATAGAACCTTTGTGTCAGTCTTCGCAAAGACCCGTAATTTCCAGTCTGTAATTGTTGAGTGCTTCCGGTTGCTTTGTACTGAGTATGGCACAATGAGCAACAGAGGAAGCGGTTTTGTGTCTCACGCGTGGCCTTGTCTGTGATGAGTACGCCTAAGTTGGGATATTTAGTGGATGTGGTTGTGGTTGAAGACTGCTCGGTTTTGGTTGCTTGGGACATTGTTAGTGGGTTGAACAACGTGGTTTTGGAGACTAACGAGGGGGCTAGGCCTTCCCCAATTGCTATGGAGCAGTGCCAGCTGCCAGGAGGCTCTGTCTTGCTTGCATTACTTGATTCAGCGTTTCCCGATAAAGTTTAAGGATTTGGGCAGTGAAGATTCGGATGTAATGGAGAGGGTTGTGGTGGTTCTGATAAGTATATTGAAATCAGTGGCCTTTTCAGGAGATTGCTTTGTGGCGGCTGGTGTGAGCCTTTGTGCTGCTCTGCAAATGTGCCTCGGTGCAGAAGAGCTTGGTTTGATTACTATTGAAGGTATATTCTATCAAGCTACTTGTAGTTTTGGTAGTTCTGGTGATGATGTGTTTAGGGATGCTATTTGTAAAGTTCCATTTGAAAGAGATTTTTGTTCTGAAATTCGTAATCTTTCTGCCTTAAGTAGGCTTTGCTTGATTAGAGGCATACTCACTGCTGTTTCAAGAACAGTTCTCAATCCCCATTTTGTTGTGTCAAGGGATAAATTGAACGGTTGTCAACCTCATGAAAATGGTGTTAATTCTATAAAACTATATTGTATGATGGGATTTTGCCCGAGCTATGTGATTACTGTGAGAACCCTGCCAATAGCCATTTTAATTGCCAAGCATTAGCTGTGATGCAAATTTGTCTACAGCAGATTAAACCATCTATGTTGGGTAATCTCACAAACTACAATCCACTACTAGAGGATATGGGGGCACGAATATTGAGGATTATATGGAATTACTTGGAAGATCCCCTAAGTCAAACAGTCCAACAAGTTCATCTTAATTTTTTTTTTT